AGCAGTAGCAGTAGCAGTAGCAGTAGCAGTAGCAGTAGCAGTAGCAGTAGCAGTAGCAGTAGCAGTAGCAGTAGCAGTAGCAGTAGCAGTAGCAGTAGCAGTAGCAGTAGCAGTAGCAGTAGCAGTAGCAGTCAGTAGTAGTGGCAGTAGTAGTAGCAGTAGCAGTAGCAGTAGCGGTAGCAGTAGAAATGGAGAGAGGGACGGATAGGGAAAGAATGAGAAATAGTGTGAATGAGAAAGAGGGAGAGGGGGAGGGAAAGAGGAGAGCGAGAGAGAAACAGGAAATGCGGGAACCGACAGATAGGTCGACGAATTTATATAGATGAATGAATGACTAGCTGGCTGGCTGGCCGGATTAATGCATGCATGTATGTATGTAAAGATAGATCGATGGATGGAAAGATAGATAGATGAATGGATGGATGAATGTGGATGGATGGATGGATTACAAGCGCGCCGTGTACGTATTTCATCGCGTGACAGGAACACAGATTTAATGAGCTGCCGTTAATTAGTAGACCTGGTTCAACATACGCACAAAACAATATCGTCATTATCAACCTCAACTTGACTGATTGAAGTTGACACCCACTAGATTGTCTACCTACTCATCATCCACACACACACACACACACACACACACACACACATATGCTGCGAGCACGAACCACACGTTCTCAAACTACGGCTCTCTCAAAACAGCGACAACGCTGACGATAAATACACACACACACACACACATATGCTGCGAGCACGAACCACACGTTCTCAAACTACGGCTCTCTCAAAACAGCGACAACGCTGACAATAAATGATACGAAGCAACATGATAGTGACGCATAGTCGCACGACATTCTTTTACGAAGAGCAACGACGCTCTGTAATGTACGGGTTTACAACATTCTGAGTTGTACTCACAGTACTTCGGTCCTTCTCCGTTGACGTGGCAAGAAGCTAACCGATTATGTTGGCCGTCAGCTGCTGGCCAACAGTTGATGCCCGCCTGCGATTGGGTGTTAGTAGCGAGGCGACGCGCTTTTTAATTCCAATGAGTTTTCGTATTATTGTAATCGGCAAGCGGTGACGGACAGTGATGGACGCACCTGGACTTCGCGCTAAGCGGACCGGCCAGGTCGATGCGACGCTTGGCGTTTAAGACAATAACGGTACGTCGCACTCTGCACCTCGCGCCAGAAAAAAAGGGCTGGAAGAAGTATGCGACGCTTAACGTTTAAGACAATGACGGATTTGGCAGCTCCCGCCAGAGAGAAGAGGGCTTGACGAAGTACGCGACGCTTGGCGTTTAAGACAATGACGGACTTAATTGGCCCCTCGCGCCAGAGAAAAGATCGCTTGACGAAGTACGCGACGCTTAGCGTTTAAGACAATGTCAGATTAGACAGCCTCCTCCTAAACAGAGGCACGCCAGCATCGCTTACTGGTTCCCGCCAAAATAGTTTCCGCTAATCCGGTTTTGCGTTGCCGCTACATAAGCCACATCCGCCAAGCATCGGCACTTTACGTCACACCGTCACTGCGGACTTATAGGTAAATATGTTCGTATTTCTCTCGAGTTATCGTACTTGTTATGATTGTAATATTTGACGATAAACTTAGATAAACTTACTTGTATTTACTTGTATTATATTGCCTGTATTGATGATTTATGTTTACGTATTTCTCTCGCGTAAATCGTACTTGTTAGTAATACGTAGTAATATTTGACGCGATGAAACTCAATTCCACTGACTTGAATTATAGTATACGTATTAATGATTTTGCATTTGTATGTGTCTGGTATAAACTGTACATAATAAAACTTTACGTCACACCGTCACTGTGGACTTATAGATTCATTTGAGGATCGTGCAACGGGCATTCATCGAGCTAACCCCCAGCGAACAGACGCATCCCAGTACAACAGTATTTCGCCATTATGACCGCGCGTTCACCCTCACCCCCACTATAATTTAGAATTTATACGGATCAATAAGATTTTGTGATGTCTTGATGTCGCATTGTTTTTTTTTATATATCGTTCATCCAATATTTGGAATTATTTTGTCGTCGTCTTTATCTAGTTATGCACGCTGTTGATGACACTTACAAGGAGTAATCGGATTTAGTTCCAAACATTGATTTTCAAATGTAAAAGCACACCATGCGTGCTAAATGCTTTCAATGTATGTTCATCAGATTACAAATCGTCGAGCGATCGACGGCCTACATTGTAGCCCTACGTCGTATAATTAATACTGACCTTTGCCTGCGCCGTACTGACCCGTTGCTACTCCGACCTTTGCCGAACAATCACAAACCAACCGAAATTTACAGAACAATCACGATTAGCGTGTGGATTTCGCTGAGTTGTGTGATGCCAGCCTAATGAAAGGTTATTGGTTTTCCCGACGGACGCGCTTTAGGGCTTGTAGTATATACCGTTGTAAAGGCCTGTTATGCTACTATGTGCTGCCCGTCATCTTAAATCAATGCGACTTCTGTTACTATTCTACGAACAAGAATAAATACGAAACGCGTATCGCGAATAGTGAGTGATTCACATGGCGCGCAAACATTTTACATACCTTTATTTACTAATAATTTAATTCGTCCTCGAAAATGGAGGCTGCATGGAGTCAATAACGTTATAGTGACGTCGTTGTCCAAGTGATTGTCATAAACAAATAATGTTCACCGAGTTCGGTATGCGAAATAAGCGTGCACCATGCAGGCATTCGGGCCATGCCGAGCTCTTATAAAAAGGGTGCTATCCCTCTCCGAGAAATTCATCCTGTATTTGATGGCTGTATTGTACTGAGAAATGGTTGATGACTTCGGGTTCTCGTAGAGTCGACAGCGTAGTAGCGATGTAGCAAATAACAGATTGTAGCAAAGAAGATGAGATGTAGCGAAGAATCTTTCGGTAAATGATTACAGAGTCTTGGTATTCAGATTCCAAATGAGACAGAGTCGCAGATTAGATGTAGGTATCTCTGTCTTTATTACTTGACACATATACAAATATATACAATAGCCTATAGGCAACCATGTCTAGGCTCCGGCGCCTCGTCTCGATCTCCTTCCGTCTCACTACATAGTAACAGTGTGACTCTCCATTTAATAACTCTAACTAATTATCTAATGGTCCCTTCTCTGTATGTCCGTGTCTATTTATACGCTTCCTAAAACAGCCCGGACGCCTGACAATCCGAACCAGTTTCTCACCAGCTGCTTCTACTATCTATACTTCTAAAAAACGAACTTTGTCTATGCATTTAGCCATTTAATGATTTCGGACCCCCCAAACTTGCCACGCTGTTAGTTTATCACCATGCGGATGTACTAAGCATATTTAAAAGTCTACACTAAAAACTAATATCTCAATGCAAGTAAAATATTAAAAGTACGTTATATAACATGGCGGTTGTTATCGTAACGCGCAATGTATGTTGGGATTCTGCATTTCATCTTGCATGTTCTGCGATAGCGCGCGTGTACGTGCACTGGCGTGCGTTACGCCAGAAATGGCTTCGCCTAATCAAGTAAATATATGTGGCTGAATTTGCTCTAAAAGTTGTTTCTACGCGCTTTTCCTGATGAGCAACGCCGGGTACCCGGCTAGTTAGTGACACATTAACGCGCAATTGTCTGTAATCATAAGGGTGTGCGGTGGGGCTAACGAGCACGACGTCGCATGTCATTACAATAACAACAATAACTTGCCAGGCTTAGAAGTATAGACAATTAGTCGCACAGCCTCGTCTGGCTAGAAGCGCCACTGGTTAATTAGAACGCTATGTACAATAGAACAGCTGCATAAAGAACAGGTCTAAATTCGCATTTAAACTCAGGTATTATGGCCCGGAAATTTGTATATGCGAGCTATTTTATTAATATCAAATCACGCTGAACTTAAATAAGTCTCGCGAGCTCATGCGATTAGTAGCCATTTTGCAGCGCATCTCAGTGCAATGCTAATATGGGCAGCGAAGTCGTCGTCTGGATTTGAGCTAATTACACCATATAATATAACACAAAGACTTTTAACGAGAAGTATTTGCGCTAATTACACCATGTAATATAACACAAAGACATTAACGATAATTATTTGCCGGGGTATTCTTAGTATCACTTCCTGTATCACTCATGGAAACTTCACGTTTATAGTGCACCGACTGCATGTACCGATAGCTGTTTCGCAAGGTAGTCCATAAAGCGCAGTGGCTATAACACGTTTAGGCTTTAATGCGTAGCGCTGCAGGGCACATATTGGTTACTGATACAACGTAGTGAATCAGTCTGGGCAACGACGGGTGGTGATTCTACAGTCAAAGTAGTTATCCATACAAAAATAACATTTTATATTCCGTTTTAGTCGATAACTGCGAGTCGAGGGAACACCCTTTTTTCTCTACCTTCGATTTGGTGCTAAAGTGTGATCTTTACAAGGTATCACAGACTACTCTAGTCACGAAAAAAATTTATTCCGACCCAAAACATGCGCACAGGACATGAACATGGACTCAGAGTACTCGGCCCACCACAACGCTTCCAGCAGTGACATCGGCTACCGAGTCACATTCCCCACTACGCCTCGCCAGAACAAAATGCCCGCTGGGAGCGTCAATAATGCCTGACGTCATGGCCCACCGGTTCGGATGACGTCAGGGATAGCGCGGACTCACTGCTCGACTTCGCTGCAGTGACGTGTCTTTCTCGAACCGTACTCGTCATCTCGCCGCGAGATGGATCTGGAGAGAGCTGCTGTCTTGTCAAAGTCGATCTGCGCGTATCCTTCGAGCGACTTGGCGGTGACTGATTGCCGCTTAGCCCTCGTCGGCGACGCGCTACTGGCCTTCGTCGCCACATGCTCGCCTGCGCATGCGCACGAAGATTTCTCCGACAAGTCTAACATGATGTAGTTGACGCGAGAGTCGGATCCGCCGCGTCCGTTGGCGGCGCCACTGCGGCCCACGTCGAACGAGGCGTCGTCGATTGCGCTCCTCCTCGTCGTCATCGTCGGCGTCGTCGTTGTCTTCTGCTGCTCACTGCCGACGGTGAGATTCACGTAGCAGTGCTCGGTGTCAAGCGCCGACTTACACGGCGACGGCGCTGGCGACGTCTTGCGCGTGCGCTCGTTGCACTTCAGCGTCGACGTCGCCCTGCCGGCGGATTTTCGCTGCGGCGTGCCGACGTCGAGTCGCAGCGCCTGCGCCGCCGACGCCGCAAAGTGGCGCACCTCGGCGGGAGTTTCGTCCGACTCTAGTATGTGTCCCATGCTGCAACCCTTGCGCACGCGGCCGGGCGACGCGAGCATGTCGCTGCGTGCGACGACGTCGCTACTCTCCAGGCTGTCCGTCTCGCTCTTGTAACGCCGCAGCATCTTGCTGAGCAGCGAGCGCACCGGAGGCTCGCAGCTCGTTTGCCGCCGCACAGCGCAGCGATCGCTGTCGCTCGGTAGTAGCTTGGTGACGGCACTCTGGTGCACGAGCACGGGAGAGTTCGCCCAGCTGGACGTGCCCGTTGAACCAGTGCTCCTGCTGCGTCTCTTCGGGTTCCGTCGCGCCAGCTCGGGGCTCTCGCAGCCTGCCCGCGGACGCTCGCGCCCGTTGCCGGGACTCTCGCACATAGTGTTCACGTAGTCGTGCGTCGCCGCCGAAGCTGACGACACCGTGAGCGTCGCCGCCGACGTTGACGACACCGTGAGCGTCGCCGTCGACGTTGACGATACCGTCAGTGTCGCCGTCGCCGCGGGCTCGGCGCGACGGTGTGCGGCGCAGCTGTGCGGTACTAGCAACGCGCTGTACAGATAGATGGCGTCCGTGACGCATGAGCGACCTTCGCCGCCGTGACTCCACCTGGTGGCGATCGGCAGCGGCGGCGAGTTGCCGCAGCTTTTCACGTACGAGACGGCGGAGATCTCGTTGCGCTTGACGCTAGCGACGGCCTGCTTGTCGTGCGAGTCCGTGCATCCGTCCTGATTGCCCACCCGACCAGCTTTCTGAATGCTTTCCTGCAGAGCGTTGTACAGCTGCCGCGCCTGCTTGCACTTAAACGCGTACACGCCGGGTCCCGTCGCACACCTACCGAGAAGAAAAGAAAGAGACTGGAGTAAAGATCAAGCGTGCGCGATATAAGACATGAGAAGCTTTCGTGAGGTGCGAAGCAATCGTCGTTAGTTGCATCGTAGACCATGTATCATGGCGTCTGTCATGTTTATTTGCCTCTTGTCTCCTAAGAACTGTGACGGCCTCATGTTTAAGCAAACGCGCGTGCGGCGGAGCTGGACGTATGTAATGCACGGCCTCCGCAAGCTGACGTAATAATATTTGCTGTTCAGCGACATTTCGATGCCGTTCACCTCGGCGCCAGCTGCAGCTGAAGCGAGATCATTGAATTGTTGACGTAGCTGATCTGAGCATTTTTTTATAATTATTTTGCCGTCGCGAGAAAATCGGCTTGCGTTTGCCGGAGTATACCCAGCATATACGTATACGGACTCAAAACATCGCTACGGAAGAGCCCACTACTAATTATAGATGTCAACGTTAGTCTACGATAGTTACTACTATTACGATAGTTATTAGTACGAAAGTTAGTCAACGATTGTCTACACAGTATGCAGATTTAGGGCGATGACGTACGCCCAGCTTGTGACGTTGCCTTCGGCTAGCCGACTTTACATATTTCAGGTTCCTTGCAATGCTTACTTGGCCATAGAAGGCTGATTACCTGGCAGGCATAGGGGCAACGCTGGACGGTTATACACACAGGGTACACGCGACGGTGCTTTGTTGATGGTTTGATTTACTGCACTCCACACTCTTAATTTAACCCCCCAGAGTATTGATATCTGCACTTATCTATCTATCGACCATACATCGGATATGCTGGATAAGATATCGCCCCAACTTTATATACTCATAAACAGAGCGTTATTGTTTGCTACGTGTTTAACGGTGCGAAACCGATATTTGCGAAGAGCCACTGTTAAACCATCAGATGCCGGCATTCTCGAAATTACAATGTACGTAAATAGGCGAGTTATATTTTCAAGGCGGAACACAACAGTAGAATCTTGTGTACACATTATTCATTGGGTGATGGCTGTACTAGCAATCACTCTGTTAATGGACCATATATTCCGTTGTAGCTAGAACAATTATAAAAGCGGGAAATAGACATGAGAGTGATGCAATATGTTTCAGATGAGTTTTCACGATTCAGGCGCATTGTATATTCGTATATTGGTATACTAATGGTTCTCGTTTCATTAAACTTCTTTTTACGTTATTATAATACGTTATGTATATTATATATATAATTATACATATATAATTCATATATGTCTTCTCTCTATTATAGGGCTAGTTGAATAAACGCGAAACGCCACCACGACAAATTTCAGTGGAAGCACGGTCACTCGCAAAACTCATATTAAATGTATTGTGAATGTGCACGCACTTAGCTGTGCATCTCTTATTTGCTTTAGCAAAGTATAGCATTTTTCCGCGCAATTGGGAAAGTTAATCATTCATTTTGTAAACAGCAAATCCTTTTTACCTATTCTAATTTGTGCACGCGTGTTTCCGTTGTAAAGCCGATTAGATATTATCATGTGAATTAAGAGTAACATGTTATCAAGAGCATATAAAGAAGGCCTTCTTTATACGCTCTTAATGTTATATGTAAAATATATTAATATAGCCATCTCTCGTGCATGCGGCTTATACGTTTATACGGAATAGGCATGTGGTCGTGCACACCCCTTTTTTAAGCGAGTGTAATAAATCAAAACGATTTGGACAACAACTTGAAGATGGCTAATTACATATCAAGCCTAATGCAATGTTTATTATAATTATATTTATGACGAAAAGCTACTGCGTTAACCGTAGTGGGTATACTAGCCCTCATACCAATGCCCACTAACAATAATTCTAACCACATCGCTACCCGAATCGTACCAAGAATATAGCGCATAGCGTCATATGACTGACACAGGTAATACGCATTTACAGAAAATGAGGCAATTTTGCTTATCTAACGATTATTCACCAGAACAATAGCGACATATATAAACCACTGCATCCCACGACGGACCATGCCCACGCAGATACACACGTGTAACGCCGATGCACTCTCTGGTTCTAAATCTAACGTTTGTGTAAATAACAAGGCCCGAGGCAGCGTGTGTAAACACTACATATCAACTGCCAACCGTCAGTACGAGCTCGTCAATTCGCCTGCAGAAAGATAATAATTTTAGGAGAAATTAGCAAAGCGCCTGTACGTAGTATCCGTAAAGACTAATTATATATTATAATTATATGTCCGCGGGCGGCGGTTTCATGCTTCGATTTTTTTCATTTACTCGCGTGTTTTAGCTCGATAGTTAGAGGTACGTGAGCGTAACGAAAATGTAAATGACGGCGAACTCTGCTACTGACATAGTCCTACGTTTAATTTTTCTAGATTCTCACTCACCAACACCCACCCAGCATTAATCGCGACTGGTGCATCCTATTATTCTGATATCACTAGGAGTTTCATAAGATAAATTCTAGATTGTTCTATATATATGGTAACAGAAGTGGATACAAATGAAATTTTGTTTTTATTCTCTCTTGTTAATACATAATATGTCACGTATGAATAACATGCTTACGTCATTGAAAACGAAAGCATAACTCATGAAGCAGATATCATTATTAGGAGTTCGAACATGACTTTCAAACATTTCGGAGATTTTCCTATATACACAGGTCGATATATATGTAGGATATACCACCCATACCTATATATATATATATATATATCAATTTATTTATTTATAAAGTACATATATCTATATCGATTTGACGTTCTATTGAATTAACCTAATGGTGGAATAACGGCACGCCGCTAGTTGTCACCATTATTGCAGTTGCATTGTAATTGGATATATGCACTCACGTGGGTGCACGTAGCAATGAGGACTAGCTCCTAATTATACGTAGCATAATGGGAAAAAACGAAGCGAGTAAAATAGGCTTATATTTCGTACTTGTGAAGTGCCATGTGTGCTAAGTAGTGCTGTGCATACGCGATATCCATGCGTGAGCAATCGTGGAAAGATCGCACGAAAACTACGTGTTCGCTCTCGCAGATTGCGTATAAGTGCTTCGGGGGAAAATTCAAGTTTTTCTATTTAGAAAGCTACATGCTCATAGAATACATAGAAAATCGTCTACATCGCATAGTATATCTATTTCTTCCGGACTTCATCTTTCTAATTGATAGACCCGCACTTGTAAAGGTGAAACGTAGCTATTATCACGGGTTAATAATGACAAATGTCATTATTAACCGCTGCTATTATTAATAATGACAAACTTGTCATTATTAACCACTGCTATTATTAATAAGGACAAACTTGTCATTATTAACCACTGCTATTATTAATAAGGACAAACTTGTCATTATTAACCGCTGCTATTATTAATAATGACAAACTTGTCATTATTAACCACTGCTATTATTAATAAGGACAAACTTGTCATTATTAACCGCTGCTATTATTAATAATGACAAACTTGTCATTATTAACCACTGCTATTATTAATAAGGACAAACTTGTCATTATTAACCGCTGCTATTATTAATAATGACAAACTTGTCATTATTAACCACTGCTATTATTAATAATGACAAACTTGTCATTATTAACCACTGCTATTATTAATAGTGGCAGCTAGTAGTAACTATTGTGTGTGTCCTCAGCGACCTAGGACTAAGATGCATGACATCTTTACCGGCACGACGTCGACCGGAGGCGTGTCCCATCGTAAAAGACTTTGCGTCTTTGACAGCAGACTGCGTAATGCATTAAACATAATGCGTTATTATTACGCGTGCATGCAAGGTCCATTATCAGTGAAACTGATTACAAAATGACTTGTAATCAATATATGTCTCTTTAGAACCTAATCATGATGTGTAATATTGCCCATATATGACAATGCTAGCTGTTAACCGGCCGTCGAATTCTGATACGAAATGACATCGCCACTCTATTTTGAGTGGATCGCTGTAACTGTTTTACTTTATATAATCAAGGGTCAATAAGGACAACTTGTCAGTATTCATTTGTTTTTTCATTTATTTTTGTTATTTTTATTGTTTTTTCATTTATTAATTTGTCACTTGACGTTATTCACTCCTTCTATAATGAAGTCACGAAACACATAGAAAATGCCAGGGATGAATGAAGGAACAAGGGGTAGATAGGCGAGTAATGGGCTGCAACCTGATAATCATTTTTCAGCAGCTAGGGATATGAACTTTGGGGCGATAATCTGTATACGACGCGATCACGCGTGAAGTGAACGCGTCAATGATACTGAGTCGCGTAGAGAATATAGCCAAGTAAAGGTGAGCCAATAACTTTGCAAGTAGAAACGAACAGTATTCTGTATAACAGTGTCACATGCACTAACTTATAAGACTTCAACGTCATTAGCACTCACGGGCTTTCCCAGCTAATTGCATAATAGTAACGTGCTTAGTACTGGTAGATGTGTGGCCGGGAGTAAGGCAAACTTGCGGAAAGCCTTCACAGTTTGTTGAGAGAAAGCGGTTGAAATACGATAAATACTAACTATACAAATCAGGTATGCAGTCACAAAAAGGAGAGACCCGGAGTGGTCCTAACTCATTGGACGTTCCCTTCTGGATATCTCTCAGTTTGCAGTATGTGATCAGACAATAACTATATATATATATA